AGGAAGTCCACGGAACCTGAATGGGAAGGAGATGCTTGGAAACTGCTCTTCACCTTCCATGTCTCAGCCCTGTCCCAAAGGGCCAAACCACGACACAGGCTGCTCCCAGCAAAGCAGATCCTGAACTCTCCAACACTGCACTTTCAGGAATTCCCTTGGACAGATTAACCTGCCGAGAGGGGGAACTTGCTTCCTCCAAATATGCACCCATAAAGCCCTTTTTCTCCTTGGTGAAAATATTTGTGGGGAGCAGGAAATGACAGATTTCTCTCCCCCCTTCTGAAGGGAGCAGAAGAGATGTCCCAGCCCTGCTCTTGCCATTACTCATGACCTGGCTCTCAGATCCCAAAGAAGAAATCTCATGTGAACTCATTTCATTCCTGGAGCAAGGTGTTTTGAGGCATTTCTCCACCCCAGAAACTTTTCACACCCTGCGCTTACTACCTCACCTCTCTGTTCACACCAGGATTCTCCTCTCTAAGGATTGGCCTGTGGATCAAACTTCTACTTTGCAAAGGTAAACAGCCTCAGAAGTGATACAGAATATTTTACAATGGGAAGTTTCACACAATCCAGCCTTAAGGATGTCAGACACCAGTGGACCCTGCACCACATACCAAGGAGAACAGCATGTGTACAGAGATGGTGGAGTTATTCTTTGTAGAAACCAGTAAAATCCAGGATAAAGACTGAAAAAGTGGGAAGAAAAGGTGGAAAGAGTGAGGTTTCCTGACAGCAACTTCTGCCCTGTCAAAACTCCCGAAATACCTGGGAACTTAGAGGCTGTTAATGGTAGTTAATGCCAGACTGATAATCCCTTTCACACAGCTGCTAGCTCCCAAAAAGCCAAATAAACCTGGAGTCTGAGGCCACCTTGGTCTCCCCTCTGAGTGTCAGCATGCACAGCCAGGGAGCAAACAGCATCTGCACAACAAATAACCCAAAGAGGGGGGTTGTTGGGGGAAGAAGAGGAACACACAGCAGTGTATTCTCAGCTCTGGAAGTTTTTACAGCGTGGATCCTCCATGCTCGGCTCCCGCGTATGAGAAAGAGGAACAGCTACAAAGCCACAGCTACAAAGGAGACTGCCTTTTCATTAAGGGAAGAGCTCTAGCAACTAAGCCACACAGTTTACAGCTGTAAAAATAAGCCCTTCCATTTACAGATTGACACACACACACAAAGCAAAAGGGAGAGCGGGTCCTGTCCCCCACTTTGCCATTAAACTCTCACGTCTGACTTCCCAGCGGTAAGGAGATGCTTCCCCGCCCCTCCCTCCCCTTCCCACGCCTCATTTCATGTTTTCTGGGAAGCCCAGCCCAGCCGCGGCTCCAGACTTTACTGTAAACCTGCCGCTTCCCATTCCTTGCTCTGCTTTCGGGGGGCAGAGGGTTCCCCCAAACTTTAGAGTGGGGATGGCATCATCCCTTACAAAATAAGCCCCACCCGAGGTTGTGAAAGGAGAGCTTTACCCTCTGCTGGAGCTAGAGACCGTTTTGCATTGCACAGACTGATTTCTGAGGTTCAGGAGTATAACCTCTCCTGCTCTCCTCAAGCCCTGATGCCAAACCATGGGGGGTTTCAGGGAGGGAGAAGAGTTCATATTCCTGAGCTCTAAAGCTGTGTCATTCAGCCTGTTCCGGGTGTATTGCTGACTTAGGGTGCACTGCTCCCCCCAAAGCCCAAGAAGAGCAGCGTGTCCCATCCAGAACCCAAGTTTGGAGGCAGCATCCCAAAGCCGAGCCTTCCGGGGGGGGGACGGACGGGGGAAGTTTAGCACCGTCTGCTAAAATGGCAGCTGCTCTGACGCCGAGCTACGTCTTGCGAAGTCAGCCCTGCCCTCATCATCATCATCATCATCATCATCATCATCTGACTGCCAGGATCCGCTGCCGCCCCGCTCCGGCTCCCGGGGCTCTGCGGGACGGGGCAGGGGACACGCAGAGCGGGGGCTTCGCCTGCCCCTGCCCACCCTCAGCCCCCCAGTTTGCGGCTCCCGGTTGCTGGGGACAGTCCCGGCCCCGCTGGGGGAATCTCCGCCTGGAAGGCACCTGGGCTCGCTGTGCACCCCCCCCTTCCCTCCCACCCCAGCCTGGGGACATGCTCGGGTACAGCCCAGCTCTCTAAAACAAGAGCGAGGGAATGTGGGGGAGCAGCCCTCCAGCCTCCGGGCTGCTCTCCTCTTCTCCCTGTCCCCCCAGCCCTGGGGACAAGGGTGATTCCCGGGGCAAAGGGACCGGGCGCCGAATAGCTCGGACCGAGTGGGAGTGGAGGTGGGGAGAGAAAGGGGAACGTTTGGGCTCTGCAGGGAAGGAGTTCTCGCCCGCTTCCAGCCCAGGAATTGCCCGAAGTGGAGGAGGCACCTCATCCCAAAGCCACCCTTGGCAGTGACCCTAAGCACCGTCCCGCAGCGGTGGCTCCTCCAGCCGGGCCAAGCCCCGGGGGTCCCCACGGCAGGTGCTCCCAGGAGGACGTGGCGAGAGGAGTTTCTGACTTTCCTACAGCGGCGCCGCTGCTCCCTCTCCCCACGAGAGTTGCCGCGGGCCGGCGGTGACCCTGTGGGGGAAGGGGATGCGGATTCGCGGTCCCTTCCCCCGGGACTGAGCAGGAGACAAGCGGGACTGCCTGCCCAGACCCCTCCTGGACGGGACCCCAGCTAAGTCGCCACCCTCGACCGCGGCCGCCCACCCCCGGCGGGGTCGGTACTCCCTCTGTAACAGCACCCCGGGGCAGAGCTGGACCTGCCGTTCCGGGGGTACAAGGACCCCAATTCCGCCGGGACACAGGAGGCAACTCTGATCTGCTTTCTAGGAAGGGAAAAAAACCAACTTTCAGGAGTTTCCCTACTCCTTGTGCGACGGGGATCCCACAGAACAACATCACTTGGGAAGAAAAAAAAAAAAAAAAGAAAAGGGAAAAAAAAAGGAAAAAGCTAAAAAGGAAAACCAAGTTCTCCTTGTTTTTCCCGAGGCAGGAAAAGAAGGGGAGGGGAGGGAAGACGGCAGGCAGGTTTGAAGGAGCCGAAGGGGACAAGTTATGCCCGGGTTTCCCGGCCGTAGCAGCCGGCGCTGGTTTGTGCCTTGCAACACGCGCCTGCTCCAATCTGCGCCGCTCGGGAACAATAAACAGGATCATACAAAGAAGTAGAAAGGCGGCATCTTTGCTTCTGGTTTCTATGACAGCATCAGAGGGAGACAAACCAACTATAAACTCTAATTCCTAGATTCCTCCCCCCCACCCCCCCGCCCGCCCCAAACTCCCTTTTGTCTGCCATTAATTAAAGTGGCCATATGGAAAAGGCTGATAATAACAGCAGATGAGCCAACGAGAGAGAGAGGGAAAGAAAGAAAAAAAAAAATAACTAAAAGTAGCGGCAGGGCGATGGCGAGGGTTTAGCCGGGGCTTTTTGCACTTGTTTTCAGCGGCTCTTCGGAGCGAGGGGGCTCAACAATAGCAGGAGAAGAGCGGCTGTCCCCCGCACCACTGTCCGGCCCGCTCGGGGGAGGGGGGTGAGAGGGCAGCCTGCCCCCTCCCCTGCCCGGCTCCGGGGAGGTTGGCATGCCCCAAGCCTCCTGCTCCGAGAGGGCTGATCCCCACGACCTGCTCTTTCCCCTCGGAGGGTGCCGAGACCCCCTTTTGGGGCCCCCTCCCCGAGGAGGGTTGATCCTACCCGCCGGCAAACTGCGCCCCAAACTCAGCCTAACTCGCCGGGGTCGATCGCAAGCACATCCTCAGGCACCAACCCCCTGCCCCTCGCTCTCTCCCCAAATTACCCACGCAACAACAACGGCAACAAACTTTGCTAAAATTGATAAAGAGATTAGCCAAGCAAAGCCTCTTCCGAGCAAGCTAAAAATAAGAACACGCAGATTTCTGTCGTGGTCAACGTATAGAGAGAAATCCGCAAACATGGCACACTTCCCTTGTGCCTCGCTGCTATAAATAGAGAACTCTAAAGTAGGCAATATTTGGAAAGAAGAGAGGGGGAGCGGAAAAGAAAAAAAAATAGGAGAAAAAAAATAAAAGTCTGGCAGTGTCAGGAGCGAGCAGCCGCCGGCGAGGGGAGCGGGAGGCCGCCAGCCCTCCGAACCTGCCTCCCCGTGCGAGGGGTCCGCGGGGCTCCCCAGAGCCCCAGGAGTGCGGAGCTGCGGACTTGGGCTGGAGTTTTTGCAGGAAGGGGGCTGGGGGTGTGGGGGGAGCCCGGGGAGGGACGCGCGGAGCCCCGGTCCCGCGCCCGGCCGTCAGCACCTCCGAGAGCTCCGCGGCCGCGGGGCCGCCGCCGCCGGCGCAAACTCCTCCCGGCGCCCGGGAGCGTCTTCTGCTAACACCTCCCTCCTGATAAACATCCACCGATCTCGCGGTTCACAAACCCGGCAAGCATCCTCTTCCAGAAATATTCAGAAAGTTTCCCGGTTGAATGCGACGTTGTGCTTTTTTTTTGTTTTTCTTTTCCTTTTAGTAAATCTCCTCCTTTCTCATCTTATTCAACCTCTTTTCAGTCAGAAGCATAACATGTCCACTAGCGTCTCGCATCCGGCGAGAGAGCGAGCGAGCAAAGATGGACCTAGGAGCATGATGATCATCATAAAAATCCCCTCGGTTCTCCAGTGCAATTTTCAAAACAACAACCCAGCCTTCGTGCTGTAAAGGCGAAACGCCTGCGTCTGTTTACATCAACTGTGAGCTCCGAAAGCCTTTCCCCTCTGTCTCAATCCAAGGGAGGGGAGGGGAGGGGAAAAAAAAAAAAAAAAAAAAAGAGAAAAAAAAAAAAAAAAAAAAAAAAAGCCAGCTTTATCTGCTTTTGTCAGCGAAAAAACAAAATATTAATTTACCTTCCCC